ATAGGGGGTCATATGATTGTTGGGTTTTTCTCTGTATCTATGAAGCGCTATATAAATAAAATTGAATTGAATTGAATTGAAAACTTCAAATTGCCTTTGCTTGGCAGAAAAAGCATTGCATGAATAGACTAAGGTGGTCAGTTTGAATAGAAACTATTATGTAATGGCCAGTTAATATACATTTAACATGAAACAAAATAATAATTGTGTTTATGAAGCTTAGAACAACTATGACCTCATTCCTTTATCAGAAATCACATGAAGGTTATTATGAACTTGATAAGTCAACCAAAGGTTTTTAAACCACCTATACATCATGGTACTATAACCCTTGAAAAAAATGTACTTTAAGTTTCTCCACTGACTTATGAAAAACAAAACTGAAACAAACAGACAATCCAGACTAGCAGTGCTTATTTCTGTTTACACTGCATCATAGATATTAAACTGGTGCCATTATGCTATACACACTAGGTTGTATAAACAAATGAATAAAAACAGATTTAAACATTTGGAAATATTTAGTTACAATTTTTGTTTCAGTCCGGAGAATTACACTCAGATACTGTCTTCTTTAAAAACCTTTTTGGTCTGGATAAAGTGATAAAGGCCCATTTGGTCCATTATAATTGTTGAATTATGTGCCAAAATTGCATTTTGTTATTTTGTTTGTTTTACCAGCACACAGACGGATCATTAAAAATACTTGCAACAGAAGTGAATGGAAATCTGCCATCGCTATTAAAATGTGTGCAGAAATTTTATTATACTCCAAATTTTCATTTTGGCATTTATATGACATTAAAGCTACTTGTATGTACCTGAAAGTGAATGATCTTGGCATATGTTTCAGAGATGGACTCTGCATAGAAAGGTGTGGTCCCCAGCAACATCTCATAAGCACAAATGCCCAGAGCCCACCAGTCACACTCAGGACCATAACCTCCACCTCCCTCAACTGCTCTTAAGATCTCTGGAGACAAATAGTCTGGGGTCCCGACTGCTAAAGACGAGTGCACCTGGAAAGAAAAGAAGATAGATTTAAAAAAAAAAATAGAAATAACTAAAAGCCATGACCTGCTTCAAGGAAATACTAGAATGTAGCAAAATCATCGCTGCGTGTTTTTAGTCCTGTCTTAAAAATGAACAAATAAGGAAGCTCCATGACAAGTAAACTGAGTTTTTGTTGTTGTTGTTGTTTGTTTGTTTTTGTTTTTTTAATTACAGCCGAGGAGGTCAGATGCGCCCTCCCTCTGAAAGCAGTCTTGTCACAGACAAACAGAAGAAAATGGTATTGAGTTGAAAAGGAACACAATTTGTCCCGTACTTCAGCTAGAATGAAAAAAAGACTCAAAGCTGGAGTTATTAAGTGTCTTTACGCTGCGCAGCTGCCTCTTCTTCTCTCATTCTCTCTCCCTCCCTCTCCTGTTGCTACTTCAATCGTGAAACTGATCAATGATCAGCTGATTGGCTTTTCTCTCTTGTTTGTTTATCGCCCACTTTGCACCAGAAAGAGAAAACCAGCGGATGTCGCGCTAAACAACAGCAGCAGATTTAAGCTCGATGAGCTGTTGTTAGAATTGATTTAATATTACTTTCTAGTATCAGCTGATGTTTGCTGGGTCTAGCAAAGTTTTTCCAGGGGGGGCAGGTAGGGCATTAACAGGGATTGGGGGGCACAAAGAAATACTTTTCTTTCTTATTCTCATTTAAAATGTCTAGCTTTTAATAAATAATTATCTGACTCTTACAGCCAGAGTGGTCATAATGTAAAATGTATAGAAAACATACATATATACCAACAAGACAGTGTGCATCACTGTCACAACACCATTTGTGTTCATTCAAAGGCTTCATGGCTTTTCCTATAATACCTGGTGGGCTGGTCTCTAGTCAAAATGCCCGGGCTGATTTTTTTGTCCCAGTCCAGCCCTGTCCGGGTCAAGGGATGTGCAGACCTTCCTCTCTCCAGGTATTCCATGACATATTGTAATATTTACTGTAAAACTAGACTGTTGCTATGAGTTAGTTTAAGAATGTAACTGAGAATGTATGAGAGCACTACTTTTAGGAGACAGTGTTGCTTTTTATGCACATCTTTTTTTGTGAAAACTAATGTCTGTCTGTCTGTCCGTTGTTACTTGCACACAATGAACTCTCACCATCCCATCATCAAGTAGCCTCAGACAGGAACCAAAGTCTCCCAGTCTAATATGCCCATCAGCTGTCAACAGGATGTTGTCAGGTTTGATGTCTCTGTGTAAGAAAACAGGTAAATAGGGCTATTTAACCTCTAAATGTCAGATTTCATTAACAAAAAAAGTCATTATGATCAAATGATTATAGTTTGTTTATGTTAGTCAGTTTTAGGAGAGAGCTAATATTAATATTTGAACCTCATATCTCTGATACATATATTTTAGATAATGTTTCTCTGCAAACTCGGTACACAGCAAATTCAAAAGTGTTAAATGTTTTGGTGTTAATAGTCTTCTTGCAAAAGTAGAGTTAATTTTACTCTAAGCAGAGTCACATTCTTTTAATGTAACTCTGAGGTGTAAAATGATAGTAGTTAAAATCAAGTGTTAAAAATGAGTGTTTCTCTGTCAAATCTGGAGGTGTTACAATGGAAACATTAACTCTTGACCTCTTAACTCTGAACTCCTACAGGAGCTATGACACCAACAGAGTAAATTCACAGACTCCGCCCCCAGCACGGCTCCAATCGAAGCTGAAGTGAAGCCGTTTCAGAACATTTTGCTCTACATATTTGAGTTGTTTGCCATGCTTGGTAAGTCGTTTTTTCAAAGATTGTTTCCATTATTATTATGAGGTTTTTCTTCTGTGGCTCTTTGGAGTTGAGACAAAGCTGTGTGAAAGGCATTAGCCATGTTGCTCGGTGATAGCATAATATTCTGTTTTAGCTAGCTGAAAGGTATTGTTTGCGGGCAAATACCACAGCCTTGAAAAACAGCTTGCATGTGAATTTTCAGTCAAACTTTTGGTCAAATACACCTAAAACAATCTGTAGAATGTGAAATGTTGGTATAATGGTGCTACTTGAAGCCTGAAAACGATCGCCCATAAAAAAAAAACGAGCAAACAGCAGTAGCAGGCGTCCTGACTGGATTCTACGTTAGCATAGATCCCTCCAGAGTTTTGTGCACACGGTTTAGGTAAAAATGAAAAAGGTTGAGGTTTTACATCTAGTTCAGTATTACCTGTTGCCTGTGTCCTTGTCTTTTGGGAAAATACTTTACACAAGTAATGGCTCAAAGAGGAGCCATTAATTAGTGTCAACTAATTTTTATTCGATCTCCGCACAGGATATGCTTGTGAAAATGGAATATGGGGGAGAGCAGAAGTGCGTTGAAGTTCCACAAAGGGATGAATGAAGGACATGCATATTGTATTGAAGCAATAAGTGATGAGAATGCTGTTATTTGCATTTACCATGTCAGACCTTTTGATAAACACAATTCTAATGAAAGTGAGAACATGTACACTGTTACATCTTTCAGAAAATGTTTTGAAATTGTGGTGCACAGTTCAGAATAGATGTTTTTCAAAAACCATTGCATCTTTTTAGTAAATGTTTATTTCCAAAAGAAATTTCTAGAAGTTCAGAACAGTAAAATTCCCGCTTTTTAGAATGAATTAGAAGATAACTCTTACGTAGTTAAACTAAAATAGTCTTTGAGAGTTAATATATAAACTCTTAACACCAAGTGTTAAATTATCAACTCCAGACAGATTTGGTGTTTAACACTAAATCAGAGTTAACGTACCAACTCTCCAAAAAGAGTTAAATTAACACTCTCTGGTGTGGACCCATATAGACACTTTAATAGTGTTGAAATCAAATCCGACAGTGTTAATTTGAACATGCTGGATTTGCTGTGTATGACTGTAGCCCTAAATAAGAAAAAAAAAGTAAAAAATCAATAAGCAGTCTACCTGTGCACATAACCCAGTCTATGGACTGAGTCAATGGCCATAACCATCTCTGCCAAGTAGAACTGAGCCATGTCCTCAGGGATCCGATCCTCAAATTTACTGAGGAGAGTCAGCAGGTCTCCACCTACATAATAATCCATCACCAGGTACTGAGTGAGAAGGGATTGGAAGGTTGTGAAAATTAGTAATCGGATTCAAGTTAAATATAAAATGCTAAAATGTAGACAACACATTTGTAAAACATATTTATCTGATTGACCATGTATAAACATACCAGGTAGTTATCATCTTGAAAGGCATAGTGCAACTCTGTGATCCAGCGTCTGTCACCCCTTAACAAAACTTCCCTCTCTTCTTGGTAACATGCTGTCTGTGTAAAGCATGAAGAGAACTCGATGCCAGACAAATGAAAAGCAGCAGGCAGAAAAATATAATGCTGAATTATCAATAACAAAAACCTTATAGATTTAAAGTTTGAGTCCCCATTATGTTGTCATAACCCTATTCTTAGTGTTGTGAATGTGAGGTTATCTGTGCTTGTGTACCTCTCCTCGCCTCAGCATGTCCCACTTATTCATAATCTTCAGAGCATACACTTGTTGTGTGTTTCGCATCTTTGCCACTGCGACCTGTGGTAGTGACAAGACCAAAAGCAGCACAATAACCACTTAAACGATTGGATGCACAAAACGAGAAGACTGTCATAATTGGTGATTTGTCTAAAACATTCTAACAGTGAGAGATGGTCGTGTTCTGTATCGAATTATGTACAAATGAAACATTGCTTATTGGAATATTTGAATGTTTTGACAAACACTCATTCACCTGCACAATATCAGAATACTTCTCAGTATAATAGCTCAAAGCATTGCTTTGGGGAACTTTTTTTTGTTCTTTTGGTTGCTCTTTTTCAATTCAGTTTGTTCAACTGAGTTCTATTTATATAGTGTCAAATCACAACAACAGTGTTGCCTCAAAGCATTTTATACTCTAAGGTAAAGACCCTGCAATTATACAGAGAAAACAGAGAAAACCCCAACAATCTGATGACCCCCTAGGGGCAAGCACTTTGGCAACAGTGTGAAGGAAGCCAGACTCAAGGAGGGGTAGTCATCTGCTGCAACCAGTTGGAGGTGAGGGGAGTAAGACAGTAAGAGAGCCTGATGATTAATAATAACTACCTGCAGAGTGTTGTATAAACACATAGTGAGTAAAAAGAGATGAATGAAGAATTCTCAATGCATCGTGGAAAACCCCCAGTGGCCCAAGCCTATTGTAGAATTAATTAAGGGAGGAGTCAGGGTGACCTAATCTAGCCCTCAAAAAGGAACATCTTAAGCCTAATCTTAAAAGTAGAGAGGGCATTTGTCTCCCAAATCCAAGATGGTTTCACAGAAGAGGGGCTTGAAAGCTAAAAGCTCTGTTTGCAATTCTGCTTTTAAATATCCCAGGAACAGAATCAGAGACTTTATTTATCCCCAAAGGAACTCCAAGTAAGCCAGCAGTCTGAGAGTTAAGTGCTCCTTTGGGGTGATATGGTACTATGAGGTCTTTAAGATAAGATGGGGTCTGATTATTCAACACTTTGTATGTGTGGAAAAGGTTTTTAAATGTGATTCTGGATTTAACGGGGAGCCAATGAAGAAAAGCCAGGATTAGCAAGATCTGCTCTCTTTCTAGTCCCTGTCAGTACTCTCCATGCATGTAATGAATTACAATTGTTCAGCCTACAAGTAAAAAATGCACGACCTAGTTCTTCAGCATAAATCTGAGACAGGATGCTTCTAATTTTAGAGATATTGCACAAAGATATTGCTGCAATGCACTGTGTTGGTGCATGGCAATTAAGAAGAAGTAGGTGGCAGAATTATATCCTTAAACATAGTTTAAGAACAAGATCCAGAGTGTGATTAAAGTGGTGGGTTAGTTCTATTCTGTTTTGAGCAAAGGCAATTGAGCCTAATAATCAATTAAAGGCCATCTTGATGCTGTCATTTTCAGTATCTGCACTGATGTTTAATTCACCAACAATAATTATTTTCTCTTAGCTGAGCACTAAATCAGATAAGAAAGTCTGAGAAGTAAAGTACAAAAGCCCAGGTGGATGATAGGTAACAACAAATAATAAAATAATAAAATACTTTAACCCTAAGTCCTCAAAAACACATCCACCTTTGATCCTCGAGCCAAAAAACGGCCACGCCCAAAAAAGTGCTATAAAAATGTTATATATTAATATTTTTTTCCACTTTAAATGAGTCAGTCTTTTAAAACTACTTCTGCCTGAAATATATAAAGTTTTAATTATATTTCGGGGGTTTTAACCCTTTAAATCCCAGTTTCTTTACATGAGCGCACTGGTTTTTTTAGCCGAAAAAAACAAAAAACTTAAAAATTTTCCAGAAAATACATTTGAAGTAATATTTGATTGTTATTATAATTAGGCCCTTATATGGGACAAAAATTGCCCCCAACATTCATTTTGATCCATCATTTTTTTTTTTTTTTTTGCAGGGGCATTAAAATCATGTTTTCACGTTTTTCCACCACTAAATGCTTATTGCCTTGTTGTTTTTTAAAATAAAATAAAAAAAATATGTAAATAAAAATACAAGATCACTTTGAACCAGAAAAACATTTATTTTAGAAGGATAAACTTCAACATTTATGTTGTTGGGAATGTAGAAATGTCATTTCCTCTACTGCCAGACTGGCTCGATTTATGTCCACAATATAGTCCACACAGTCACTGTAAAATGAGACGCCAAGGAGGTTGTGGAAGCCACCGATTTATTCTCCTCCTGCAGGAGTAGGTGCCAACAACCTAACAAAAAATGAAAACAAAAGAAAAGAAAAAAACCTGTGTATATTTTGGACAAGAATGGGCAAGAATGAAAAAAATGCGTGCGTAACTGACACGTAATGACACGTACCTTTTTGCCCAAATCTTTATACCATATTTCACCGGCTTTTTTGGAATGTACTGCCTGAAGCTGCACCTGCCTCTGAATGGGACGAGTTTTTCATCCAAACAGGTCTCTGTCTGGACGCACAGCATCTGCAGGTGGTGCGCCCACACTATGAAGGCAGCCATCTGGCAGCCGTTGGTATAGTTTGTCTTCATGTCATCGGCATCGCCTGTCATCATGCCGTCAAGCGCAGCGTCCTGATGTGATGAAACCTGTTGTGGGACATCGTAGCCCGGATTTCCCACTCGAGAGGCAAAGGATTGTTTCATTCTTTGACCTGTAAACACCGGCCAAAGTGAGCAGCCCACGTGAGTAGCACGAATTTCCTCTGTCCATATTTCGCTATTCTGCGCCTCCCGTATGGTCATAAACTTGATCCCTTAGGAGCTGTGCACAGCTGAATATAGTTGCATATCCAGAGACAAAGAGGAGTTGAAAAGGGTGCAGAGAGAGCTGAGGGGACTGATAAGGAATGGGAAGGACAGCTACAGGCAGAAGATGGAGAACCAGCTTCAACAAAACAACGTTGGTGAAGTCTGGAGAGGCCTCAGAACCATCTCGGGCCACAAACAGCAGAACTCTCTGCCTGGGAGGGATGTGAGATGGGCAAATGAACTGAATCATTTCTTCAACCGATTTGATTCAGCCATGAGGCAGTCTGCAACATCGGCTGCAGACTCACCC